ATTACATACAGTGCTGCAAAAAAAAATTTATGCCTTTTAACAGATTTATCTCCATTTCCAGTGGTGTGCACTAGATCCCTAAATTGCAATAGAGCCAATTACAGACTTCAGTTTCTCAGTTGTGCTTTAGGGTTTATGCTAAATTCTTTGGACTGTGTGCAGATTTGCGCTTTCTAACTTTAATAAATCAGTAGGGCTAAATTAAATATTTCATCAAGTAATGATAACAGCAGAGGGAGTAAGCCATCTCAAGTCAGTACAATACATAACCATTGTATAGAAACAGCGACCCTCCATCAAGAATCTGTTCTCAGAAACTACTTTAAACACTCTCGCTGACTGTCCTTCTGGGTCACGGTTTTCATTTAAGAGACAATATCCACAATTTATTGACGAGCAGATATCCAAACAAACTAGCCGCCCACAGTTACACAAGCACTTATAAACAGCACTGCGACAATAAATAAATAAATAAATAAAAAACAAATGGTAAAACCTTAACAGCTTTTTTTTAAATAAAACAACGCTGTGGATGGTCCGCCCATAATCACGCCCTCACGGTGAGGGACATGGAGAGACACACAGCTGAGCAGAACCAAACAGACCCGAACCAGAATAGAACCGTGCTCATGGAGAAGGGGTGGTAACTGGAGCCATAACATGAGCAGGGAAAAGTTTAAATTCATTATTATTTTTGAAATGAAGAAGGTTTTGTCTGTTTATGTCACTTTTAAAGTTTCAGATCAGCAAATAATTTTTAATGTCTGAGAAAGATCTCATGATTTATTAATKTCGTTTTCAAATGAGTTTATTTCTAAAGCAATTCAAACCAACTGGCCCAATGTAAAAAAGTACCGGTAATTGCATCCATGTTAAATAATGCCTAAACTGTTTTCTTCTTTTTGTTTTAAAGCTGAGTTCGGTTTCGCTAGCCACACCCAGAGCTGATTACTGCTACATCTGTAAAGTCAATAAATCACTGCTATAGAATCAGTATCCACAAATRGAGAAAACATAAAATAGTGGTGAACCTTCCCCTTAGTGTCCGTCTGATCAAAAGTACCCCAACAGCTCATCAAAGACTCATTCAGGAGGTCTCAAAATAACTCAAAACAGCATCTAAAGCTGTCMGGCGTCACTTGCCTCAGTTATGATTCAACAATTTTAGAGAGACRAAGGGCAAAAAAGACCAAAACCATMGGTGAGCAAAACAAACWTAAAGGACMGGGACTATCTTACCAAAAACATTTAGATGATCCCCAAGACTTTTAAAAAAGTCTTGTGTGATGAGACAAAAGTTGAACTATATTGAAAATAGGCTATGATGCAAAATCAAATTTATTTTTGACATRTAMAGCATTTTCATAACAACTGAAGGTAACATAGTTACTTGATTGTGGTGTAGAATTGAACTATATGCCTGGAAAAGACATAATATCCCCCTTTAATAAAATAAATCATCCTTTAAAGAGTGCATGTGTCAAATGATCTGAAATGTGCAAGTGTAACAATAGTGAAATCTGTAAACAGTCTTTCACAGACCTGTATTTCAATTGTAGTCCAGAACAGTCCATAATGGATAATGGATAGTTACACTTTCTTTGTGTTTTTGTGTGTGTTTGTGTGTGTGTATTTGAATGTTTGAAAGCATCTAATACACAACCTTTTGTGTTATACTCCACATAATAAACTGATATGTGTTTTTTGCTCAGTATGAGAGGCAGTTAGCAGAATATCAAGAGAAGACAAATCGTCTGCAGAGGAGATTGACACAAGCTGAACAGAAAGCAGCTACATCTTCACAACAGGTAACCATAACATCGTATCCAAATGTGCATCTTACTAGAATGTTTGTCTTTCTTTATTCAGATTCATCACTGCTGTTTTTATTACATATTTGTTCTGTTTGTTTTACAGCTGAGCGTGCTGGTGTCCCAGCACAGAAAAACCACTGCCAGGGATTCAGAGAGTCTTTGACAGCTCGGTGTGCCACAGAAAATAGCCATGTGTGTTAGGAACCTGTTGTTTGTTCAACTTGCTTTAGTTAATGTATTTGGACAGCTGTTATGGCGTGCCATAGGTTTTACAATAAATGCCATTTTCTGGTGATTTCTATTCATAAGAAAACAATTTTAAGGTTGGACTTCTACATATCCTGAAAACATTTTTTCCCTCTGTCAACCCTTAAGTTTGCAAGTCGATAAATCTTAGTTAGTGAGCTCTATTACGTGTCCCAGAATGCTTAAACTACAAAGCTCCACTGGTTCACTAAGACCTCCAGTACTTGGGGGGGGGGGGTAAAAATCCCACAGAAGTTCTGCAGATTTCCATTTATTTGTTGTAAATTCTGTTTAAAACACACACATACAAATATTGAGTTGGATTTTTGTTTTGCAGTTGTCAAATATGTCATCATTTTCTAGGCTGTGCTGAAAACTGTATTACAAAAACAACCCAGTCTGAATACAAACTTGAGAACAGGTGTTTTGTTTTCAGGCTGGTTCATCCAGTCACCTTCAGCTCAAGGAAACAAAAAAGCAGGGCCTTACAGGTGCTGTGAGCAAATCACTGTTCACCTGCTGCCTCTGCTCTCCATTAGACAGGTCAGTGACAGGCATGCATGTTGAGAGGATGAGCTATGTTTGAAGATTTTCTTCACAAAGTGTTTCAGTCTGTTTTGTTTTTAGTGCAGATTTGAAGACTAGTTGTGAAGTTTTATACACTGCCTGGCCAAAAAAAATAAAAATAAAAAGTCACCACCTACAGTAGATTTAACTAAGGTCTATGATGTGGGGTTGCTGCAGTTGGTCAGGTCTAGGTTCAGCAACAGTCTGTGCTCAAAGAATGAGGTCAGCTGACCTGAATATACYGAAAGACCAGGTTAWTCCATCAATGGATTCTTTTCTTATGGCACGAGCATATTGCAAGATGACAATGCCAGGATTCATCAGGCTGGGATTGTGAAAGAATGGTTCAGRGAGCACGAGACATTTTCACACATGGATTGGCTCCACAGAGTCCATTGAGAATCTTTGGGATGTGCTGGAGAAGGCTTTGTGCAGCGGTCAGACTCTACCATCATCGATGCAAGATCTTTGTGAAAAATTAATGCAACACTGGATGGAAGTAAACCTTGTGACATTTGCAGAAGCTTATTGAAACAATGCCACAGTGAATTTGTGCTGTAATCAAAGCTAAAGGTGGTCCAATGAAATATTAGAGTGTTACCTTTTTTTATTTATTTTTTGGCCTGGCAGTGTATTTCTACTGAATTTGGAAAGTTGGATGTCTAACGGATTGGATGTACTTCAAGATTTTTAGAAAATGTTTTAAAACCATTTTTGATAACTTTAAATAATTCTGTTTGAATATAAAGTTGGCTTCATGATTATATAGAAGCAAACACTGAAAATGACTTAAGTAAAGACTTTTTGTCAGCAGAGGTTAAATTTTGATTTATTTTTTTCTGTATCATATAACTCATGTTCTTTCATAGAAACAGTATTTTCCWAAAGTAAACCCCCCTTCAAATGGATAACTTACCCTACCGCCCTGCAAAATATGGCTCAAGGCAAGATTATTGACGTGGCCTTCACATCTTCCTAATCTTTCCACAGTATAATCAGGCATACTGTATGTGGGATCTGATGGACAAACAGTCATATTTCAACTTCTAAACTTGGAGAACTAGATCATATATTGACGACTTGGGATGGATACTAAGCCTTCCAAGTCTTCCTAAGAATCACAGTTACCACAAATAAAAAGGTGTAACAGTTGAACCCCTCCTCAACCGTCAGTTTCATCAGTACAGTAAAGATAACAGGTCAGTAGTGTGTCAGTATGGAGTATAACATTTGAAAAAGCTATCATTGCAAGCTGTTTCTTTGCCCTCGTTAAAAAGTGAAAACTCTTACATCTGTCAAGTCAAAGCTTGTGCAGGTTCCTTTGGGTAGGAAGATTTTTTTATGGTAACACCAAGATGTTTGGGTATAAATTGAGCTCTTGTCATAATAATTTTGAAAATAATACAGCATGTTACAAAAATACTGACTGGTACAAACRGTTTTCTTGGTTTAAAATGTTTATCTGAGAGGCGTGTTTTGGACATTGGCGTGATTAATGTCCTGCAGTCTTTCAGTCCTGAATTGATAGAAATCAGAAAAGAATGATGACACGGGCCTGTGCTGCATGAAGAACATGCACGAGTTCCTAAAAGATCAGCTTAAGTATAAAAAGTGCAGTTACACATAAAAAAGTAACATAGATATCTGGTTTTACACACAAACTCCCTCTTGTGTTTGGAGCTCATTGCCACCATTTGTTATTATCAAGTTTACAGTGAACTTGAGAAGTTCCGAGACCCGGTGAAGGATGTACGTGTTTGTGGTTGTGAATACTTTTTGGAGCATCAAACTACTGACTTGATTGCAAATAAATCTACTGTAGAGACAGACTCAAATGTAGACAAAAAACTGTTCAGATTGATAGTTTTTTGATACAGGTGCTCAAAATGTCAAGGAAACTCTCGCTAAAGTCATTATTTTCATAGCTGAGTCATCTGCTAAGCTGCTCTGTTCTTATTTGCTTCCTGTAGAACTTTTATTTTTCATGTCGCAAATTGTTTTAAACAAAAGTGACAAAGTTGTGTGAACTGTAAATAAAATGATTCAGTGAATGGGGATWATTTAAATCCTGTATTT